TGTATGTGATTTTCGTGATGCGACTATTAAAACGAACTGTGACAATTTCTACGAAGTGGCAAGCAAAACCTTGTTTTTCGATAATACTCAAAGGGTAACAACTTTTTTTGAGGTATTAAAAATAAGAAACATTAAAAAAAAATATTAATAATGATTACGAGTAAGACTAATTTCGTAATTTATTTTTCTCCAAACATATGAATTGGATCTTATTTATCAATTAACATTCTAGCTATTTAGTTTCAAACAATACTTCATTTTCAGATCTCACATGCATGTAAAATCTTTGAACGGTTAAGGTCTTCAAAATTATTTATTTATTTCGGATTTTTGGTGATTGAGAAACTTTCAAACATAACAACCAGGGGGGCTAAAAAAATTAATTTGAAAATGAATGTTAATATCAATATTAAACTTGAAACTTGACCAAAAAAATTAGATTATATATTCCTTTTACTTTATGCAATTCTTTACAATTTTTTAAGTTTTTCATTGCTATGAATAAATTGGAAAAACCAGTTTTCTAGTGAGAGTTCAGACAGGCGTCATTACTTATTAAATGATTCATATTATTTGTTGATAATTTGTAGTTCGTTGTTTATTTCCAATATGAGCTTAAATGGTGGCGAAATTAATACCTTTCATACTTTCAAGATTTCAAACTAAGTAGTCTTCAAATAAGTAGCCCACAATAGCGAAATCTTTACTTTGTGCCAAAAGAACCATGAATTTATTTCTCTGTTTTATGCAATTTAATTCATAAAAGTTTTCTTGGAAATAATAGTGTAGTATATAATAGTAGTCACTCCTATATTTAAGAAGGAAAAAAACCTATTTGTTACAAAAACAAAAGCAAATAATGGTAATGAAGCTGTTTTCTTTTAGAAACAAATTAAAAAGTTCGGAAAGAAACTCTTTAAGAGCTTTAAGCAAATAATCTCGAATTCGTGATTAATATTTTGTTGTGCAACTCAATATAAAGTTTAATTTTATTTTTTAAACTAGAATTTTTCACGCAATTTTCTTCCCTTTCCTTTAAAAAGAGAAAATATTGTATCTCTTACAGACGCAAAACAGTTCTAAAATAGAGCGCAGAGCGTTAAAAAACAAGATACTTTCCTGGAAGATTATTATAACAAAATCAAAACAAAAATGTCATTTAAAAGAAGATCTTATTTATAAAATTAGTATATCCGTTTAGGAAACCAATAGGTAGTCGAGTAGAGATAAAAGTTGACAATTTTATGAGCGATTTTAAAAATTTTCGGGGAACTCTTGTAATGCATATGCAAAACTGAAGCTTTCTGTAAAAGATTTTTTTTCTATTTTAGCCAATATAAATTTTTAGAACAATTCCTCTTCTTTGATGTTGCATGCCATGGTCAGTTTGAAAAAATTTTCAAAATATTTAGGGCGTGCCGGTTATTATGTCTGAAGGTGAGACTATTTTTTAAAAAAAGAAAAACAATTTCAGGATTTCCATAACATATTAGTCATAAACTCGAATTATTCAAGCTAATCGTTTCCAGTTCGACTTTTGCATCATCGCCTTTCAAACAAGAGACCCATATCTCCATTCTTGCATGTTCGTTTTCACTAAATATATCACTTTCCGTCTAATTCGGAACTTTCTAAACGTTTTTTAAAGATCGGGTATCAGATTAAGAAATACTTAGATAAATTAATAATGATTTAAATTAAGTAATAAATGTTTTAGTTAATTGTAAATATTGAAGCTCCAAGTTCAGCGTTTGTTCGCGTTAGTCAGAATAGTAGTGCGCTGTATGATGGCACATGAAATCGTTGACTTGTATTCCGATTTTGCCCATTTATATGGCCGTGGGAAGCATACTTCCAGTCAGGGAGCGATTACATCGTCTAGGAAGTTGCAAATAGCTAGTAAAAAAAATAGAAAGAAAAAAAAATAGTTGCAAATATTGTTAGTAACTTCTGATGGTCTGGATTTTCACTCGCTTTTCTTTCTCATAATTTTTAAATTCCGATATTTTTATGCGACGTTTTTATGACACGTGAATTTCAATTTTGAGCTATTATTTTTCGACGTACTCAGTTCGCGACGATCCCGTCGTAAATTCACAATTTTTTTCGATCGTTTTTGGGAGCTGTTTATCGATTTATCGCATGTTTTAACATATGTTTTTTTTTTTTTTTTAAAATACGATATTTCGACACCTGAATTTCGAATTTGAGTAAGCACTTTTTGACACGCTCAATTTGCGATTATGCCGGCGTAAATCAACTTTAGTTAATAGTTTTTCTCGGCAGGTGTTACAGTTAGTTGTCTTAGTTCCGGCCCCGCAATTTCCACATCGTTTTTAGAAACTCGATATTTTAAATACTTTTTATTACTGCCAACGTATTCGAAATCGCGCATTTGAGTATTTAAACTTCAATACGAGCATAAATATTTACCATTCTTATATCATGCCCTGCTTCCCACAGAATTCGCTAATTTTTAAAAGTCAAAGGAAGGCATATTTCTTATGATGAGTGCGGCAATCTATTGATACTTAAGGGGAAAAAATCATTTAATGTCTTTGTTTACATAAATGTTGGTATCTAAATAGTGCAGAATATGTATCGACTATCCATCGCTAGGATTCGAATCTAGTTCTCTATATTGGGATCACCGCAGCCACCACGGTTCTAGATGATTGATATTTTTTTTTATTTGACTGAAATATTACGGGGGAACTTTTTGAGATTATCGAGAAAGACATATCCAACATACCCTGAGCTGTCGAGGCCCATGTTATTCTCTAAAAATTGTTATTTCAAGTGGCGACAAAGCCTTTGAAAAACAGCTTTACGATTTCGAATCAGACTATCAACAAATTTTATTAATTTAAAATTTTCTATTATAGAAAGTTATTTTATTGATATTACACGAAAAAACAGTTCCTTGGTGATATCTAAATAAGATAAGATTGAAAATTGGCAGCATTTGCTTTACGAAAGTTTTGAGCGCTTTTCTAAACGCTGATATACACCTAATTTAAAACTAAGCAACAATTTCTTATTACCTAAAAATAAAACTTTGGTAAATTTTAAGCATTGTTTAACGGAGCTGTGACCAAATTATTATTTTAATTTGTTCAACCCTTTTTAAGTGTACTTTCGTGGGTTGTCTACTTCCCAATAACTTAATTAATTTTTAAATGTCTGTAGGAAGATATTCTTTCACTTATGATTAGTGCAGCTATCTGCTTAAAAATTTAGAAGGCAGAATAATAATAATAAAAAACCTATAAAGGGGGCTTTATTNCCAATAACTTAATTAATTTTTAAATGTCTGTAGGGAGCTATTCTTTCACTTATGATTAGTGCAGCTATCTGCTTAAAAATTTAGAAGGCAGAATAATAATAATAAAAAACCTATAAAGGGGGCTTTATTTATTCTAATGTAGGTAACGGTAAAGGTTTGCGTCGGGTCAAGAAGAGATATCAACAATAGATAGTTATTTTCTCTTGTGCGTTATGCTTTCGTTCAATGATCATTTCTCATAGAGTTTATTTGTAATTATAAACACATAATTTATAAAATTCATTATTTGAAGTTCACAGTTCAAGTTAATGGCCAATTCTTTTCAGCAGGAAAATTTTTAAATCCACGGTCCCACAAAAAAGGTCTTAAAAATCACATTAATTTGAGACATTAAACTGAACGAATTTCTATTTTACAAATCAATTTCAATTTTAAAATTTTTTTTAGCATAATATTAGTGGAAAAATTTGCCCTTCGTAAAGGGTTAATAAAGAATCCCATTTTGCTTGCGACGTAAATTGAATAGTTTAACATACATCTTTGGTCCATATATTAATTTTTTAATGATAATTTATAAAAAAGTTACCTTTTTCAATCTCTCATTAACTAAATAATTGGCTGGAGCAGTACAGAAACACAAAAGACTAAAGATATAACTAGCAGTTATAAACAGAAGCAAGTTTTGTTATCTGCAAAATTTTATGTTTTGCAAAATTTTATATTTTGCACACATTGAAACGTGTTAGTTTTAATCTTGAGCTCATCTTATATTTACATTACTCGATATTTGAACTGTAATAAATCTTGAAATTTGTCAAAAGAACATTTAAAGATTGGAGAAGTCAAATTAGAAGTAATTGATAACATAAAATTTCTCTTGTGTCGGAGTAAAAGAAAATTACGTTTACTTTAATATTTATTGCATAAAAAAGCTTAAGAAATAAATAAATAAAAGGAAATTTTGAAAGGAATTTAGTATGAAAATTAGTTTGATCTCTATGATGAAGCATTGATCATTCGAAGAAAATATGGTCTAGTAATCACACTATGTTTTTAGTCAGAGATAAATACTGTAAACTTTGACCAGCTTTGCGTTTTAGTTATCGCAACACTTAAAAAATTTTAAAAGTTGCATTTTATCACTAATACTTATCTTTAAAAATTTATAAACTGTAACTCATAATACTCTATGATTTTTAAAATTCTAACAGTTACGAAAATGCACCTATGTAAGAATCGATTGCTCAAAAATTAACGTTATTTAATAAAAATAAAGTGTAACCCAGTCGGGCTCAAGTTTAAAGCAATAGTTGGAAAAATTTTGGCTAAATTTGATAAATTTTGTACATAAAATATCTATGCAGAATTTTCTTGTACTTTATAACAGTTGTGTACATAGCAAAAAATCTTACAAGAACTTTATCAAAAAAATTTAAAAAATTATACTAATATTTTACATTTAAAATTTTTATTAAGAAACTCTAATTACTGATACAGTTTAATTAACATATGTTCGAGTTAATATTGTTTATATTAATTAAAAATCTTTCACAAACATTTTAAAATCGTAATTGAACTATTGAAAGTGTGAGGTATTCGAATCAATAAATATGTTTAAATTAATAAGACAATGTTTTAACACTACCAACTATAAATTAATATTTTTATATTTATTGCAAAGATATTTTTTAAAAAATCGGAAATTCTAACTTACCTCTCCTTTTCGAATTTTTTCGGCTAAAACACTAGCAGGAATTAGCAATAAATCATTTTCAATTGGAGGTATTTGTTTTTTACATCCAATATTCAAAATAGAAAGAAAACCATGTGTTGTGTTTTCAACAGTACTTCTTACACCACGCAAAACAGTGGTTACAATTTTTAATGGAAAAATAGCTGGAATAGAACTTCGTATCGCGTTTTCATCCATTCCACTGTTTTGTAAACAGAGCCTTGAGACAAAACGACAGTATCAACAGACAACGTTTGATTGAACAAAAGCAGTTCCGCGGCGTTACTTTCGCTTTTCGGAAGGGTTGCTTTTGTTCCTCTCTTTGGATGTCGAGGCGGCGGAGAAGCACAAAAGAAGAAGAAAAACGTCGCCAAATGCGAAATTCTGCGGAAGCAATGTTGCCAGATTTTGTTTCTTTTCTTTTTTTGCAGAAACTTTGCATTTTCATTATTTTTTTTTTAAATAAAATTAGATTTCAAATTTTACACAGTGGGATATCCGTAAGTGAAGTTATAGTAGACAAATTGTTGCAAATGTCGATTCAGAAGTCAATAAGGTTCGATACACACGTGTGGTGTTGCATAAGCACGTTTAATTATAAAAATCAGAAAACGATAATAAAAATGAGCTATTTATCATATCGTTTTACTTTTTCTTAAATTCTACTTTTCTAAGTGTTCTTTTTTTTTTTTTTTTTTTTTTTTTTTTTTTTTTTTTTTTTTTTTNTTGAAAGAATTTTTTTTTTGAGGTAACAGCTACAAATTATTCAACTGTAGTAATAATTTATGAGTTTTGCTATTAGTTAATTTCCATATTCCCTTTTTTAAAAAAAGAAACATCACAAAACTATGGCGTATAGGTTACAGTTTTTTTTCTCTCTCTCTCTCTTTTCTTTTTTTATATATAAATATATTTGTTAAAAATGTGTTTGATTTCAATTTTATGTTTCAATTAAAAAGGATTTTATATTCCTTTTTCGCTCTATTAATGTTATTCGGAAATTATTTTTCATTTATTTTTTTCATTGTTTTTATTTTGCTCAAAATGTATAAAAGAAGAAGAAAAAACTTTTTTTTTTCTTCCAAAAGTATTAACTTGAAATAAGACTATTCAAAAGTATTAACTTTTTTTTCTTCAAAAATAGAACAACTGGAATAGAATAATTTTACAAGCTTAAAAGAAAGCGAGTCAGACGACAAATATCAAAAAGTAACAGTAAATCTATGATAAAAAATCAAATAATTTTTGAAGGAATTTGATTATTATTATTTATAAAAATGATTTAAACCGTTTAAAATATTTCAATCTCTTCGAGTATAAAATTATAGAGTTAAAAGTGTAAGTGGACGTGTTTATACAATTAATTAGTAGCTGTGTTGTACCAAAGTGATTTACTTTTCGTAAACAATTTTAAAAAAAAGAACAAAACTTTTATTAAAAATTTTGATTAAATGCATCTGAGACTTCATTAAATAAACATAAATTTTTAGGAAAAAACAATAAAAAATAATCTGATAAATATTTTTAATCTATTTTCTACGTATTTATCTTTAGTTTGAAGCATGTAATCAAACGCAGATTGTGTCGTAGGAGTGTGATGTTTCTTTACTTCCCTATCAATAATATTAAACTGATCAGCGTCCTTAAAAAACTAAAAAACTGGAAGAGAAATTTATAAAAGAAAATTCGAAAACTCACCTCTTTACCTTTCTTATTGTTAGAAGTATTTTTTTCTGTTTGAGAATCTCTGCGAAGGAATTTTGTTCTTAGAATATTAAATTGAAAAGAGTCGTTCGTTACAAAGGTGTTACGTTGGCTTTTTCAGCTCAGTCTTCAACTAGACTTTGATATTTAATTATTTTTCCTCAAAATACATCATTATCCAAACATTTTCTGACACAGTATCTTTGCTACGTACATTTTCAATTTTTTCTTTTATCAAAAAATAAGTAATTAAAAACATAAGGGGATATTAAATATTATTTGACTAGAAAAAATGAAACTCATTACCAGAGTTATCTATTGCAGTTATCTTCATCTATTATCTAGAGCAGGGGTTTCCAACATACATGAGGCCGGGGGCCACTATAAAAACACAAATCAAATGGCGGGCCGCAACTTTATCAAAATTTTTTGTAGGACTCTTTTTTGTTAGAAGGAACATCAAATATTACTGTCAAAGTTTTAACAAGTTGTACAAAACAAAAGTATTGAATTACAAATTAAAATAAGAAGTAGATTTTTAAAAATATTTAATTGCATATTAAAAAATTCGGACTGCAAGAACTTTAATGTGCACCCATGTATTAAACAATTAATGTGCAACAGATATCTAATTGTTTAGCTATAAAACTTTAAAAACGTTGGTATTAAAACTTACATAGTAGCACACAAAATGTTCAATGACAAAATTGAGGTTTGTCTGCTGCAACGACCAGCGAATAGATATTTAAATTTTAAATTTAAAATTTACAAATGTGTGTGTAAATATTTTCATCCAAAATGAGTGGTTTCAAAAAGTTAAATCGGAGAATTTCTTCGATAAAATTTCTGATACACACATGATAAATTATATTCACAAAAAAAAAAAAAAAAAAAAAAAAAAAGAAAAAAGAAAAGAAATAAAAAAAGAGCAACATGCACGATTATTTTTGTATTTGAAATATTTTCTTGCATGGAAAACCTGAAAAATAAATTTCTTTGCACCGTTGGTATGTTAAATTTCACATAAACGAAGAAATTAGGTTTTTATTAACGAGAAAAGTATTTTAAACCCATATAGAATTTTTACGAAAATTGTCCGAAAAAAATAACAACTAATATATTTTAGTTCGCTGGCCACAAAACAAGACTTCGCGGGCCGGATTAGGCCCCCGGGCCGCCAGTTGGAAACCACTGATCTAGAGTTATCATTATTTATTGGAAGTTAAATTATCTTCTAAAGTTGAAGTTCAATCATTGAAAATAAATCATCCATTCTTTAAGGGGAAACACACAATGATATTTTTAATAGATATTATTTTTATATAAATTGATCATTGGTTAAAGGCATTGAGCAGGGCTGGATTACCCATAGGCCAGACTAGGCCATGGCCTGGGGCCCCCTAGGATTAGGGGCCCCCTTAAAATGGATTTTTTTTAAATAAATTTTTAAAAATTAAGAAAAATAATGATTTTTAAAAATGTTATGATTATTTTTTAGTTCTAATTTAATAAAATAAAGTAAAATTTAATTTATTATTATTTATTTCTATTTTAAATCTGATTTCTTAAATGAAAAGATATATAAATACTTTTATATTTGAATAAATAAAAAATCTGCGAGAAAAAAATTTAATCTATAGGCCCCAAAAATTTGAATGGCCTATAGGAATTAGAATGGCGTATGCTTAATCCCGCCCTGGCATTGAGTTGTCATTGTTAAGAACTGCGGTTCGTTCCTCGGTGTCAGCTTGAAGCCCATCCAGGTTCAGATTAATGGATAGCAACTTGTCAGAAAATAAAGAAGTGCTGACTGAAAAAAATTAATAATTTACTAGAAAACATTCATAACTGCATTTTGGTTAATGTAATATCATGAAATCTTAACAGTTATCATCAAATTATCATTTTAAGAACTCAATTCGTTGTTGCAGAAACATCTTTTATTGACAATTAAATACTTACCTTTGACTACGTGAGAAAACAAAACAACCATCAATAATTGTTTTTTTTCCCCATTTCAGTGTCTTTCCATATCATCACCTTTGACATTTCCCCGTGATCAGGATATTGAACCTTGAAAATGTTAATTCATTTTTATTTTTCGTTTAAATATTTCATTGAGAAACGGGTTTTGATACATTAATATTGATTTTTATCATATCATTTAAATAGTGTTTTACGTCAAACTTTCAAAAATATGTTTTATTTTGCTATGTTATTTTAAAGAAACATTATCAAAGCATTATGAACTTATTTGAAATTTATTTAAAAAATATATAAAATTTTGAGTGACAGTCTGTTGTTGTTTTCTAACCCTTTAATAAACCGGTTTTTTTTTTCTTTCTAGTATGGTTATGTTACAATATTTTTGAGATTACGCTTAATTTAAAAAAAGTAAATTATTTCGTTTATTACCCGAAATTTATCTGATATTTAAGGCATTTATTATTTTTTTTTTTTGGTGGGAAAGCTGGTGAGAATTTTAAAATTTTATCTACTGTAGTGAACTGACCATGAACTTGAAATTCGGTGCTTATAATTATATAATTAACCGAATTTATAAATTCTGTGTTTATAACTGCAAATAAACTCGGTGAATAAGTGAACGAACGTATAACGCACAAGAGAAAATAAATCCTCAGTGTTGGCCTCTCTTCCTGACCCGACGCAAACCTTTACTGTTATCTACATTAACGTAAATAAAGCCCTTTATAGGTTTTTTATTATTATCATTCTGCTTTCTAAAGTTATAAGCAGATAACTGAGCAAATCATAAGTGAAAAAAATAGCTTCCTACAGACATTTAAAAATTAGTAAAATTAGTGGGAAGCAGACTACCCACGAAAGTATGCTCAAAAAAGGGTTGAACAAATTAAAATACTAATTTGCTCACAACTCCGTTAAATAATGCTTAAAATTTACTAAAGTATGATTTTTAGATAATAAGACATTGTTGCTTAGTTTTAAATTAGGTATATATCAGCGTTTAGAAAAGCTCCCAAAACTTTCGTCAAACAAATGCTGCCAATTTTCAATCTTATCTTATTCAAATTTCACCTTTTTAAGGAACTGGTTTTTCCTGTTTTAAGTTAATAAAATTACTTATCATAGTCGAAAATTTTAAATTAATAAATATCGATGATAGTCAAATTCAAAATCGTACAGCTGTTTTTCAAAGGCTTTGTCGCCACTTGAAATAACAATTTTTTGAGAATAACATTGGCAACGACTGACGACTGCGCAGGGTATATTGGATATAGGTCTTCCTCAATAGTCTCAAAAAGTTCCCCCGTAATATTTCAGTCAAATAAAAAAATGTATCAATCATCTAGAACCGCGGTGGCTTAGGGGACAGAGTGCTCGCCTCCCAATATAGTGACCTAGGTTTGAATCCTAGCGATGGATAGTCGATACAAATTCATCACCCGGCTTGCACCGACCACAGTGCTGACGTAAATTATCCTCAGTGGTAGACGGCTCATGGGCTAGAGCCTCTTCACCGTTAGGCTAACCGTGGGAGGTTTTCGTGGTTTTCTTTTCCATGTAACTCAATTGCGGGTTAGTTCTATCAAAACGGTGGAGTCAAATTTCAATTTCTCTCACTACTTATCCAGGAGTTCCCTTGTCTTCTGGATTGGGTT